AAAAGCAGGGGCACTTGATCATATGCGGCAGCAATTTTCTAAGGATGAGCGAATATGTAAGATGGATTCTGGTGAGAAACATTGTCTAGCATGGCACAGGGAAATATCTTTCTTAGCAGCTGACCTATCAAAAAATTCAATACGTAGGGAAGGCATGAATCCACTTCTCCCCTATTTTGGCTCTTTATGAAATAACTTCACACAGAGATCTCGTTATACTACGTTAGATGAGAGAGGGTGTGTCAGCAATTGGGTAAAACTGTTCTCGGCTTACACACTTTCAATTGAAAGATGTCAAATTGTCAAACTGGAATTTGGTAAGTCATTATGAACAAGGTCAACAGAATTAAAAGTGTTTAGAGGCAAAAGACTTTTTTATTGAAGCAACCTCTTGAATTTTGTTGGCCTTGTCTCACTCTAATCTACTCTTGATAAATAAGTAGCCATCGTACTGTTTAAACGTTCGCTTGACTACTTTCAAATTACTCACCGTCTGTGATTTCCTTCATTATACGTATTTTTCTGTTTCTCTGTTTTTCCGTTCATTGGCATCTCTGAGCTGTATAGTTAAAAGTATATGGATTATTTTGTTCTTCTCTCTCGGGGTGTGAGTTGGAAGTATTAACTTTAAAACTAATGCTTATCTTATTGTAGCCAGATAACAGCATTTCACTTCAGGCTTGATATATCTGATTGATCTCCATTTGCTATCAAAGAAAACAGACTTCATCATTGGGGCAGAGACTGACTCTGTTTGCACCTGTTACATCTGAACTGTGACGGAGAAATAGGAATGCATCGTGGTATTACTAGACGCTACTTAGAGGCCTCGGGTTAATAGTAATGAGAAACCCTGGCTGAATCCGTGATCATGGTCTGATAAGCGGCCATTAGAGACATCGCTGTTGTTATTGTTGTTGTTGTTGTTGCAGCAGTTGTATGAATATATAAAACTCAGTGCATAATCATTTGTATTTAGGAAGATCGACTCCCGAAAATTCCGAAAATATGAAGAAATATACCTACAAGCAATACTATGCTGGCATAATATTAATGCCTTAATCTGTGCAATATCACTTCAGAATGTGGTCATCATGGTTCTCCACAACCTCCCTGCTTTAGCGAAGTTTGTCTTTATTCTAATTCTTAATGTGCTAATTGCATAACGTGCTGGTTAGGGAGGTTATTTAATGCTTTCTTTTATTCATCTTGCCTTTAAAATGACTTGTGAGTAATATTATGTGTCCTAGGCATCGCATTGTCTATTTATGATTCTAAGGAAATACGTCGAAATAGATTGAATTTAAAACTTCCTCGTTACACACAAGTGCAGACCATGATATTCTAAGTGTTCTTTTCTAAAGCCACATTTATGTTACTCCGAGTCTCTTCTCTCTATGTGAGGAAATCGTCCAGCAGTTCGCTATCTCTGCTCCCTCAGTGAGGAAACAATTCCGCATTCACTGTCTTTCCCAAATCTGTGAGGAACCCGTCCAGTATTCACTGTCTGTTCACCCTCTGGGAAGAACACGTACAGCATTCACTAGCTCTTCCCACTCTGTGAGGAACCCGTTCAGCATTCACTGACTCTTCCCCCGCTATGAGGAATCCCGTCCAGCATTCACTGTCTCTTCCCACTCTGTGAGAATACCGTCCAGCATTCACTGTCCCTTCCCCCTCGGTAAGGAACCCGTCTAGCATTCACTGTCATTTACCCCTCTGTGAGGAACCGGTCCAGAATTTACTTTCACTTCCCGCTCTGTAAGGAACCCGTCCAGCATTCACTGTCTCTTCCCCTCTCCGCAAAGAACCCGTCTAGCATACGCTGTGACTTCCCCATCTTTGATAATTCGCGTTCAGTATTCACTGTCTCTTACCCCTCTGTAAACAACCCGTACAGCATTTACTCTCTCTTCACCCTCTGTCACGAACCCGTCCAGCATTCACTGTCTCGCTCCCAAATTTAAGGAATCGGTCAGCATTCACTGAATCTTCCCGCTCTGCAAGGAACCCGTCCAGCACTCAATGTCAACTCCCCATCTGTGAGGAAACCGTCCAGCATTCATGTCTCTTCTTCCTCTGCAAGAAATCCGTCTAGCAATCACTGTCACTTCCCCTTCAGCAAGGAACCCGTCCAGAATTAACTGTCACTTTTCCGTCTGTGAGGAACCCGTCCAGATTTCAATGCCTCTTCCCCCTATTTGAGAAACCCGTCCAGTATTCACTGTCTCCACAACCTCTGTGACGAACCCGTCCAGTATTCACTATCTCCTCCCAGCTTGCAAGGAAACCGTCCAGCATTCAATGTCTTGTAAGAAATTCTGCAATTTAAGCGCCTTTTGGCTGATTTGTAACGACCAATTTCATTTTTTAACGGCCCGTGCCCTTTTGACTTAGTTGCGGATAAGTATTGGAAGTGTCCGGACTCATTTTGAATCTCTTTGACAGGGCCTTTAGTGCCCAAGACTAAATAATTAGGCAATGATTGTTCTTCAGCAACCACAATGGTAATGCTTCAGAGATAGATGCGGCATATTATTAGAAATGTCCGAACTCATTTTTGAATATCTTAGCAGGGCTATTAGCGCCCAAGAACAAGCCTAAATAATTAGGCTATGATTCCTTTCAGCAACCAAATGGTAATGCTTCAGAGACGACTTCATGTCCCAGCATTATTCCTTCAAGGCTGTAGAATTCAGTCATAATGACTGTCGTCAAATGTGTGCGTTTACACGAAGAACTTTATGAACGATCTCGACAACATCCGAGTTTCAACTCCTGCAACAACCAGCTAATAACAGCTTCTTCAACTTCGTAGAGACCAATTGTGTCCCACTGAAGTAAAAGACACTACATATTCATTGAAGAACTACCCTACCCTGTTCCCAGGGGCAAAAAAGGGCAAAATCTTTTTTTGCAAGGATACAATAAGTTTTAAGGTAGGCCTTGTTGAATTGTTAGTCTTTCTTGTTTCTGCCAAGGGTTGACTGTGTGAGAAGAAATTCTCACATAGTTTTTATTGCAAAAAAAGATTGATAGTTTTAATAGCAAAAAAAAGATTAATAGTTTTTATTGCAAAAAAAAAGATTAGTGTTAATTGCAAAAAAAGATTAATAATTTTAATTTGAAAAAAAGATTAGTTTTTATTGCAAAAAAAGATTAATAGTTTTAATTGCAAAAAAGATTAATAGTTTTTATTGCAAAAAAAAGATTAATAGTTTTTATAGCAAAAATGATTAATAGTTTTTATTGCAAAAAAAGATTAATAGTTTTAATTGCAAAAAAAAGATTAATAGTTTTTATTGCAAAAAAAGATTAATAGTTTTAATTGCAAAAAAAGATTAATAGTTTTTATTGCAAAAAAAAAAAAAGATTAATAGTTTTAATAGCAAAAAAAAAGATTAATAGTTTAATTGCAAAAAAAAGATTAATAGTTTTAATACCAAAAAAAAGATTAGTTTTTATTGCAAAAAAAGATTAATAGTTTTTATTGCAAAAAAGATTAATAGTTTTTATTGCAAAAAAAATTAATAGTTTTAATTGCAAAAAAAAAAGATTAATAGTTTTAATAGCAAAAAAAGATTAATAGTTTTTATTGCAAAAAAAGATTAATAGTTTTAATTGCAAAAAAAAAAAAAATTAGTAGTTTTTAAGAAAAATTTTTTTTGCACGATTTAATTGCAAGAAAGTTTAAATATTATTACTCTATAAGTGAGTTAAATTTTAAATTCTCTCTTTTCAATAAAGGGAAGAATGTCAATAATATTTTTCTCAATATATTGTGTTATAATTAATTTAACAAATATATTATATGCTGGTTTCTGTGTCTTCTGTTTAATGTTTTACAATTTGTAAAAAAAAAAAAAAAAAATATTAGTAATTTAATTTAGGTTCTCGTCGGAGGGGGTTTGTTAAAATTAATTCCCTTTGACCAATTTGCTGTCATTCTAAAAAAAAAAGTAGAAACATTCTTCTTGTTTTTTATTATTAATCCTATTCTCCCCTTTCCTTTTTTTTCCTTAATGGGAAGTTGGCGCTTATCTGACTGCCCAACCTGTTGGTTAAATTTTTCTCGTTCTGTGCGCTTCCCTGAAGTACTTTTCTAGTTGGAAGTTGGTGTCGACCGCAAGTTTTGGCTTGAACAATTTCGTTTTTATTGTTTTTTTTTTCTTGCTAATTATAATATGGTTTTGAAGGATTTGTTCGCCAAGATTGAAGCCAAAAAGTTTCGTATTAGCAGCACTGTGGAATGGGTGAAAGAAAATGGTGCTAGCTTAACTACCATCGAATCAAACATTTCTGTCATCGACAAATGGTTGACAGAGTTAGATGATTTGATGGATCAGTTAATTTTAAAGTCTCCCCCCGAGGAGAGGTTGAAATTGTGTAATGATTCGACACAATTTTCTTCCAACATCAGGGAACAATTACCCAAGTTAAAAAGTGGAAATGAGAGCAGCGAGACCAGCGAGTCTGTTCAATCAGCTCCTACTAGACCCTTAGGGTTAAATCTTGAATGCCCCATTTTTTCCGGGTCAAATTCTTCTGATATTTTTTAATTCAGGACCTTCCTCGGACGGTTTGAATTTTGTGCATCGAACTTGGGAAAGGCAGACAGGATGCTTCTGTTGATATCCAAGTTGGGAGGGCAGGCATTTGACCTCGTTTCCAGCTTGGATATAACTCCAGAAAATTATGATCTAGCTTTGGCTAGTTTAAAGGATAAATACTTAAATCCGTCGTTGATTAAAAACCGAATATTTGAGGAAATTATTCCTCCTTCTGAACGAATAACTCGTTTTAAGGAATTAAAAGTTTTTCTTGAACGAGGGAAACTCGATTTAACTGAGTTAGATAAGTCTTTCGGGACAGATTTTTTCGTAGATAATTCTACATCTGGGGACATTATGGCCCACATCTTATTCAATAAATTCCCTAACAGTGTGAGAAGGGAAGTAATGAATAAATCTAATGAGAGATTTCCCTCTCTATCTTCCATTATGTCTTTTACTTTCAACATAATTGATATCTTAATGGCGTCTCCTTTGGATGAAAAAAGGCGGGAATACTGCTCATTCAATATGGCGGCTCCTCCTTCTTTGGGACACAAGGCCAACATGGCGGCAGGGTCTTACTCCAAGTCCGCTAATGTAAAGAAGGGCATGAATACCTTCAAACCTCCCGCTAATAATGACGAAGCCTTTAAAACCTGTAAATTATGCAAGGCTACGGATCATTCTGTAAAGGAGTGTACCAAATATCAGGCCTTCGAAGATAAATTTCAGAGGGCCAAGGAACTTAATTTGTGTACCAAGTGCCTAGGTGGACACTTGGATTCGCATTGCAAAGGGATTAAGGGATTGCCTTACCCTTGCACTTTTTGTGGGCTTAAGAATCACTATTCTATTATGTGCCCTAAAAGTCCAAAATCCTGTGTTGGAAGGACTACCTTAACGGGGCAAGGAAACTGCATTTTCCCTGTTCTCAAAATTTCTATGAGGGTAAATAAACACCCCGTTTACTTCTACTGCTTTTTAGATACAGGCAGCCAGAGGTCTTTCTTTTCACAGACTATTTGAACCCAGTTAAATTCCGGGGTAAAATATAAACCCAGATCGGTTGAGATGCCTGTAAATACTATGATTGGGAGTAGTTCCTTGAACCTTCAGGAATTTAATGTATCCCTTAAATTAGGGTTTCAAAAACCCTTTTTATTTCCGGCTTTATTTGCTGGGGATCTGAATCTGAGTTTCAATGTGGACAGGTTTGACGAAATAACCTCTAATTTAACTAAGGAAGGTTTTCGTCTGTGTCCAGGTTATAGTGACCTAAATGGGTCTGCTATTAATGGCATCATTGGATTAGACTTGATTCAACGGATTAATAATCTCCGCGTGATCCGATGCCTAGGTGGTAGCGCTTGGAAAATCTCCAAGTATGTAATTCCCTTGGGGAAGTAAGAACGTTTTTATCACATAATCCTGTTAAGGAAGAGTTGCCTCCCTTTGATAAGGTGGTGAATTCACTCCCTCCTTGTCATTCTTATTTGATTGACAGCGTTTTGAATCCTGTCCATTCGTACGAGGATGCACTTCAGCCTTTCTTCTGTGAATCGTCGGTCGAATGTGGGATAGAGACATTTCTTTCTCTCGATTCCATAGGGGTCGATGAAGACAGAAAGTTGTCTTCCCTAGATGAAGAGAAGATAAAGAAATTTGAGGAGTCTATCGTTCTTAAGGACGGTAGATACTATATTGATCTACCTTGGGACTACGAGAAGCTTTCTCGTGTTGAGTCCAACTATGTGCCTTCTCTGAGAATAATGCAGAGAGTGGCGGAGTCCTTAAACAGGAAGGGACTGTACGATGATTATTTAAAAGTCTTCAATGAGTACGAAGACTGTGGCATAATTGAACCATTCTCGGTCCTGCCAGGGACTTACGAGAATTATATTTGGGTCCCCCATAGACCTGTCATCAAGGAAGGTCAGGGGGTAACCACAAAAATCCGCCCCGTGTTCAACTGTTCGTTGAAGAGGGGGGGGTACCTCAGTCAATGACGCCGCTTATTCTGGCGTTAATCTCACTGCTCAATTATTGGATTTATTGTTAACGTTACGAAAGAATAATTATGTTCTTCTGGGCGATTTGCGTAAAGCATTTCTACAAATTCACCTGGAATCTGTTGAAGACAAAAATAGATTTTGCTTTTTTTCTTAGGGTGAATGACAAATTATGCATTTACAGATATAATACTATTATCTTCGGGTTTAATGCCAGCCCATTCATCTTGAGTTTTATACTTAAATTTCATGCGAAAAAATACAAGGCTGATTTGGCCTCTCATACCATTTACAACAACTTTTATGTTGACAATTTGGTCACATCTAGCTGTGAGCGTGATTCTTTACTTCACGTTTATAGCACTGTACGTGGTAGGTTAAAGGAAGCAGGATTCGAACTTCAGTCCTGTAATTCCAATTGCTCGAACCTGCAAAGTAAAATGTTGGAGGACGATTCAATTACGTCCCCGCTTCCCACCTTTGAAAAGGTGTTGGGTTATCTTTATTCCCCGCTTCAAGATTCAATTAAACTTATTCCCACAGCTATAGACTCCAATGTCAATAATAAGCGTGGGGTTCTTTCCCAGATTTCCTCCGTATATGATCCATTATCATTACTTCTTGTAACTGTACAGGGGAAGATATTCATTAGTCAATTATGGAAGAATAACTTATCATGGGATCAACAGATTCCCGAGAATTTGCTAAGCTTGTGGCAAATACATGCTAAAGAATTAAATAATTTATGGGAATTCGAGTTCCCCAGATGCGTACTCTCGGAGAACTCCCCAGCTGAGTTCATTTGCTTCTGCGATGCGTCTAGGCGGGCTTTTGGATTTACTATGTACGCTAAACAAGGAACCCAATGTTCCTTATTATTCGCCAAAGCCAAAGTAGCTCCCATCAAGGGGAAATCACTCCCTACCCTGGAACTTATGGCCATATATCTGGCCCTTAAAGTGGTCCCTCAGCTTTTAGCGGCCTTAAAGCCTATAAATATCCTTGCTCTTTAACTTGTTTCAGACGCTTAAGTAGCCCTTTCGTGGGTTTTAAACAGCAAAGGGTCCAAAAAATATATATTTGTTGAAAATCGAATATCTGATATTAAAAGGTTACCCTAAAATTTGGCATATCACCTAAATTTAAATATCTTCCTTCGACGGAAAATCCGGCAGATCTGCTAACCAGAGGACCCACCACCTCTAAGTTCGCACAACTGTTCCAATTCTGAGTGTACGACCCTGAGTGGCTTAATCAAGATAGCATCTGCTGGCCCGTATCACTCTTATCCTGTCTTAACGACAACAACAGGAAAATTGTATCCTGCATGATATCTGTAGATACGTGCTCGGTTGAAGGCAGTTTACCTTTGGAAATCTTGAAATTTTCCACATTATCTAAGGCGATCAATGTCTTAGAGAAGGTGCTAAGTTTTGTCGACAAATTACGTCACCGAAGCTCTAAGACCTTTAATAGAGCCAAGATGTAGCTTTTTACCAATATGCAAAGTGAAGTTTTTTCCTTTGAGTTGGATTATTTGAAACAACCTTCAAATAAGGTTATACCTCCTAGGGTATCAGCCCTAGGCCTATTCTTAGATAAAGATGGTCTGATGCGGACCAGGAGTCGCATTCAGAACTCTGATATTCTTCCTTTTGAAGTAAAATTTCCTATTCTGTTAGGAAAAAATCATCACCTGACTGAATTGGCTATTAATGAGGCTCACTTAAATTGTTGCTATATGGGAACCAATTCAACGCTCAGTAAGTTGAGGTTATCAGGATTTTGGATTACCCAGGGGAGACAAGCGGTAAAAAGGATTCTCCGTAATTGTATTACATGCAAGTGGATCAATTCGTTGCCTTGTAAAGCTCCCTCCGGGTCCCAACTGCCCTCTCATCGGATAAATTTTGTCTTTCCCTTTAAACAAGTGGGTGTGGATTTTACAGGTCACTTTTTTTGTGAAACACAATGATGAAGATGTGAAAATGTATGTTTTACTATTCATGTGTATGAGTTTGCGTGCTATACATCTAGAACTGTTACCAGACATGAGCACACGTTCCTTCATACTAGCCTTTATCAGGTTCACCAACTTATTTGGTGTTCCTTCTCACGTATACTCTGATAACGCTAAGTCCTTTTTAGCGTGTGGCATTATATTATCAGATGTATTCGTCTCTTTTTAAGTCCACTTCTATCATTCACCGAACCATTCCCCTCTATTCTGCTTGGCGGAGGGGAGGGGCTTGGGAGAGGCTAATTAAAACTGTTAAACAGTTCCTAAGAAAATTAATGGGCAGGAGGAAGATCGACCACTTCGAATTCCTGACTACCCTCTCAAACGTACAGAAGGCCATAAATGATAGGCCACTCACATATATATCTTCTTAGGATAGAGGTCTTGACTTTCTGACACCTAACCACTTTCTGCAAACGGGTTATCACCCCCGCTTGCTAATTAATAATTACGAATCGGAGGAGTTGTGCCCCGATCCGCCCCATAGAATTAAACTAATACCTTCCCTTGAATTGAGGGAAAATTTATTGAAAAATTCAAACATATTTGGTATAATGACTATCTTTTGTCGTTAAGAGAAGTTGGTGCCAATATAGGGGGCCACTGTCCCCCGAAGGTGTCTGTTGGTGAGATTGTACTTATTAAATCTCCAATCAAATCTCGCCCCTTCTGGAGTCAAATACATAGATTGATTGCTGTAGTGTTAAAAGACGGGTGCGAACAGATTCATTCATTAAAGCATTTATTTCCCTTAGAACTTAAGGGTAATCCTGAAACTGCATCTGCAGAATTTATGGAAGAGGGTGGCCTCTTCTTCTGCCCTACTTGTTCCGTTGCTAATGACGGATTAGCTCCCATGATGTGCTGTGACTCATGTGATAACTGGTATCACTTTAGCTGTGTTGGAATCAATCAGCAGGACACTGTGGGTTTGTCCGAACTGTACGGACAAAATTTCACAATAACCTTATACATCCCACACTTGTGGTTATTAGACATTCACTGTCTCTGCCCCCTCTGTAAGGAACCCATCCAGCATTCACTGTCTCTTCCCTCTCAGTGAGGAACTCTTCCAGCGTTCACTGTCTCTTCCCCATCTCTAAAAAAAGTAAAGCATTCACTGTCACTTCCCTATTTGTGAGTAACCCATACACCAATCACTGTCACCTCCCCCTCTGTAAAGAACCCGTTCAGCATTCACTGTCTATTCCTCATCTGCAAGGAACCAGTTCAGCATTCAGTGTCTCTTCCGCATATCTAAGGAACCCGTCCAGCATCCACAGTCTCTTCCCCCTCTGCGAAAAAACCCGTCCAGCATTCACGGTCACTTCTCCCTCAGTGATGAAACCGTTCAGCATTCATTGTCCCTTCCCCCTCGGTGCGGAAACCGTTCAGCATACATTGTCCCTTCCCCCTCTGCAAGGAACGCATCCAGGATTCACTGCCTCTTCCCAATCTCTAAGGAACCAGTCCAGCATTCACTGTTTTTTCCCCTCTGCAAGGAAACCATCCAGCATTCACTGACAATTCCTCAACTGTGAGGAACCCGTCTAGCATTCACAGTCACTTCCCTCGCTGTGAAGAACCCGTTCAGCATTTAGTGTCTTCTGCATCTCAAACAAACGCGTTCAGCATTCCCAGGCTTTTAACCCTCTGCGAGGAACCCGTCCCACATTCTCTGTCACTTCCCCATCGAAGAGGAATCGGTCCAACATTCACGGTCACTTCATCCTCTGAGTAACTCGTACAGAATTCACTGTCACTTCCCTCTCTGCAAGGAACCTGTCCAGCATTCAGTCACTTCTCCCTCTGTGAGGAACACGTCCAGAATTCACTGTCAGTTCCCCCTCTGCAAGGAACCCGTCCAGATTTCAATGTCTCTGCTCCCTTTGTGACGAAGCCGTCCAGCATTCACTATCTCTTCGCTGCTTGCAAGAAAACCGTCCAGCATTCAATGTCTCTCTTCCTCTGTGAGATTACCGTCTAGCATTCACCGTGAGGAACCGGTCCAGCATTTACTTTCACTTCCCCCTCTGTAAGGAACCCGTCCAGCATTCACTGACTCTTCCCCCTCTGCAAAGGACCCGTCCAGCATACACTGTCTCGTCCAACTCAGAAAGGAACCCGTCCACCATTCACTGTCTCTTCCCCTTCTGTGATAATTCGCGTTCAGCATTCACTGTCTCTTACCCCTCTGTAAGCAACCCGTACAGCATTCACTGTCTCTTCACCTTCTGTGACGAACCCGTACAGCATTCATTGTCTGCCCCCATCTCTATAGAACCGGTCCAGCATTCACTGTCTCTACCCCATCTGTAAGGAACCCGTCCACCATTCACTGTCTCTTCCCCTTCTGTGAGGAACCCGTCCACCATTCACTGTCTCTTCCCCTTCTGTGAGGAACCTGTCCAACATTCACTGTCTCTTCCTCGTCCAGTATCCACTGTCCCTTCCACCTCGGTAAGGAACCCATCGAGCATTCACTGTCACTTCCACCTCTGTGACGAACCCGTCCAGCATTCACTGTCTCTTACTCCTCTGTGAGGAAACCGTTCAGCATTCACTGTCTGTTCCCCCTCAGCAAAGATCCCGTCCAGCATTCACTGTCATTTCCCCCTCTGTGAGGAACCCGTCCAGCATTCACGTCTCCTCCCCATCTCTAAGGTACCCCTCCAGCTTCACTGTCACTTCCACCTCTGCAAGGAACCCGTCCAGCATTCACTGTCAATTTCCCCCTCTTCAAGGAACCTTCCCAGCATTCACTGTCACTTCCACCTCTTCAAGGAACCCGTCCAACATTCACTGTCTCTTCCCCATCTGTGAGAGTACCCGTCCAGCATTCACTGTCACTACCCCCTCGGTAAGGAACCCATCTAGCATTCACTGTCACTTCCAACTCTGTTAGGGATCCGTCCAGCATTCACTGTCCCTTCCCCTTCGGTAAGGAACCCGTCCAGCATTCACTGTCACTTCCCCCTCAGCAAGGAAACCGTCCAAAATACACTGTCTCTTCCCCATCTGTTAGATTTCCCTTCCAGCATACACTGTCCCTCCCCCCGCCCCGGTAAGGAACACGTCCAGCATTCACTGTCGCTTACCCTCTGTGAGGAAACCGTCCGGCATTCACTGTCACTTCACTCTCTGTGAGGAACCTGTTGAGCATTCACAGTCTCTTCCCCCTCTGCAAGGAAACCGTCCAGCATTCACTGTCTCTTCCCCATCTCTAGGGAACGCGTCCAGTATTCGCTGTCACCCCACCATTATCGAAGGATCCCGTCCATTCCCCTTCTGTGAGGAACCCGTCTACCATTCATTGGCTTTTCCCCATCTGTAAGGAACCCGTCAACCATTCACTGTCACTTCCCCATCTGTAAGGAACCCGTCCACCATTCACTGTCTCTCCACTCTGTGAGAAAACTGTCCACCATTCACTGTCTCTTCCACTTCTGTGAGGAACCAGTCCAACATTCACTGTCTCTTCCCCTTCTGTGAGAAACCTGTCCAACATTCACTGTCTCTTCCCCTTCTGTGAGGAACCTGTCCAACATTCACTGCCTCTTCCCCTTCTGTGAGGAAACCGTTCAGCATTCACTGTCTCTTCCCCCTTAGCAAGGAACACGTTCCTCATTCACTGTCACTTCCCACTCTGCAAGGAACCCGTCCACCATTCACCGTCTCTTCCCCCTCTGAGATTTCCCGTCCAGCATACACTGTCCCTTCCCCTTCTGTGAGGAACCCGTCCAGCATTCACTGTCTCTTCCCCCTCTGCAATGAACCCGTCCACCATTCACTGTATTATCACCATCTGTGTGATTTCCCGTCCAGCATTCATTGTCCCTTGCCCCTCTGCAGTGAACCCGTCCGCCATTCACTGTCTCTTTTCCTCTTCAAGGAACCCGTCTAGCATACATTAACTCTCCCCACTCTGATAGGAACCCGTCCAGCATTCACTCTCCATTCCCTATCCGTGAGATTTCCTGTCCAGCATTCACTGTCCCTTACCGCTCCGTAAGGAACACGTCTAACATTCTCTTCCAATACTGTGATAAATCCCGTCTAGCATTCACTATCTCTTCCCTTTCTCTGAGAATCCATTCTTGAGAAAGCCGTTCAGCATTCATTGTCTATTCCACCTCTGTAAGGACCCCGTCTAGCATTCACTGCCTCTTTTCCCTCTGTGAGGAACCCGTCCAGCATTCACTCTCACTTCCCCATCCGTGAGAGACCCGTCCATCATTCAATGACTCTTTCCCCTCTCTAACGAACCCGTCCAGCATTCATTGTCTCTTCCGCATCTGCAAGCAACCCATCCAGCATTCACTGTCATTTCCCCTCTATGTGAAAACCGTTCGGCATTCACAGTCTCTTCCCCCGCTCTGAGGAACCCGTCCAGCATTCATGTCACTTTCCCCTCCGTAAGGAACCCATCCAGCATTCACTGTCTCTTCCTCTCTTCAAGGAACCCGTCCAGCATATATTGACTCTTCCCACTCTGATAGGAACCCGTCCACTATTCACTGCCCATTCCCTATCCGTGAGATTTCCTGTCCAGCATTCACTGTCCCTTACCCCTCCGTAAGGAACACGTCCAGCATTCACTGTCTCTTCCTCTCTTCAAGGAACCCGTCCAGCATATATTGACTCTTCCCACTCTGATAGGAACCGTCCACTATTCACTGCCCATTCCCTATCCGTGAGATTTCCTGTCCAGCATTCACTGTCCCTTACCCCTCCGTAAGGAACACGTCCAGCATTCACTGTCTCTTCCTCTCTTCAAGGAACCCGTCCAGCATATATTGACTCTTCCCACTCTGATAGGAACCCGTCCACTATTCACTGCCCATTCCCTATCCGTGAGATTTCCTGTCCAGCATTCACTGTCCCTTACCCCTCCGTAAGGAACACGTCCAGCATTCACTGTCTCTTCCTCTCTTCAAGGAACCCGTCCAGCATATATTGACTCTTCCCACTCTGATAGGAACCCGTCCACTATTCACTGCCCATTCCCTATCCGTGAGATTTCCTGTCCAGCATTCACTGTCCCTTACCCCTCCGTAAGGAACACGTCCAGCATTCACTGTCTCTTCCTCTCTTCAAGGAACCCGTCCAGCATATATTGACTCTTCCCACTCTGATAGGAACCCGTCCACTATTCACTGCCCATTCCCTATCCGTGAGATTTCCTGTCCAGCATTCACTGTCCCTTACCCCTCCGTAAGGAACCCATCCAGCATTCACTGTCTCTTCCTCTCTTCAAGGAACCCGTCCAGCATATATTGACTCTTCCCACTCTGATAGGAACCCGTCCACTATTCACTGCCCATTCCCTATCCGTGAGATTTCCTGTCCAGCATTCACTGTCCCTTACCCCTCCGTAAGGAACCCATCCAGCATTCACTGTCTCTTCCTCTCTTCAAGGAACCCGTCCAGCATATATTGACTCTTCCCACTCTGATAGGAACCCGTCCACTATTCACTGCCCATTCCCTATCCGTGAGATTTCCTGTCCAGCATTCACTGTCCCTTACCCCTCCGTAAGGAACCCATCCAGCATTCACTGTCTCTTCCTCTCTTCAAGGAACCCGTCCAGCATATATTGACTCTTCCACTCTGATAGGAACCCGTCCACTATTCACTGCCCATTCCCTATCCGTGAGATTTCCTGTCCAGCATTCACTGTCCCTTACCCCTCCGTAAGGAACCCATCCAGCATTCACTGTCTCTTCCTCTCTTCAAGGAACCCGTCCAGCATATATTGACTCTTCCCACTCTGATAGGAACCCGTCCACTATTCACTGCCCATTCCCTATCCGTGAGATTTCCTGTCCAGCATTCACTGTCCCTTACCCCTCCGTAAGGAACCCATCCAGCATTCACTGTCTCTTCCTCTCTTCAAGGAACCCGTCCAGCATATATTGACTCTTCCCACTCTGATAGGAACCCGTCCACTATTCACTGCCCATTCCCTATCCGTGAGATTTCCTGTCCAGCATTCACTGTCCCTTACCCCTCCGTAAGGAACCCATCCAGCATTCACTGTCTCTTCCTCTCTTCAAGGAACCCGTCCAACATATATTGACTCTTCCCACTCTGATAGGAACCCGTCCACTATTCACTGCCCATTCCCTATCCGTGAGATTTCCTGTCCAGCATTCACTGTCCCTTACCCCTCTGTAAGGAACCCATCCAGCATTCACTGTCTCTTCCTCTCTTCAAGGAACCCGTCCAGCATATATTGACTCTTCCCACTCTGATAGGAACCCGTCCACTATTCACTGCCCATTCCCTATCCGTGAGATTTCCTGTCCAGCATTCACTGTCCCTTACCCCTCTGTAAGGAACCCATCCAGCATTCACTGTCTCTTCCTCTCTTCAAGGAACCCGTCCAGCATATATTGACTCTTCCCACTCTGATAGGAACCCGTCCACTATTCACTGCCCATTCCCTATCCGTGAGATTTCCTGTCCAGCATTCACTGTCCCTTACCCTCCGTAAGGAACCCATCCAGCATTCACTGTCTCTTCCTCTCTTCAAGGAACCCGTCCAGCATATATTGACTCTTCCCACTCTGATAGGAACCCGTCCACTATTCACTGCCCATTCCCTATCCGTGAGATTTCCTGTCCAGCATTCACTGTCCTTACCCCTCCGTAAGGAACCCATCCAGCATTCACTGTCTTTCCTCTCTTCAAGGAACCCGTCCAGCATATATTGACTCTTCCCACTCTGATAGGAACCCGTCCACTATTCACTGCCCATTCCCTATCCGTGAGATTTCCTGTCCAGCATTCACTGTCCCTTACCCCTCCGTAAGGAACCCATCCAGCATTCACTGTCTCTTCCTCTCTTCAAGGAACCCGTCCAGCATATATTGACTCTTCCCACTCTGATAGGAACCCGTCCACTATTCACTGCCCATTCCCTATCCGTGAGATTTCCTGTCCAGCATTCACTGTCCCTTACCCCTCCGTAAGGAACCGTCCAGCATTCACTGTCTCTTCCTCTCTTCAAGGAACCCGTCCAGCATATATTGACTCTTCCCACTCTGATAGGAACCCGTCCACTATTCACTGCCCATTCCCTATCCGTGAGATTTCCTGTCCAGCATTCACTGTCCCTTACCCCTCCGTAAGGAACCCATCCAGCATTCACTGTCTCTTCCTCTCTTCAAGGAACCCGTCCAGCATATATTGACTCTTCCCACTCTGATAGGAACCCGTCCACTATTCACTGCCCATTCCCCATTCCCTTACCCCTCCGTAAGGAATCCATGCAGCATTCACTGTCTCTTCCTCTCTTCAAGGAACCTGTCCCAGCATTCCCACTGTGATAGGAACCCCCTATTCACTGCCCATTCCCTATAAGGAACCCATCCAGCATTCACTGTCCTACCCCTTCATTCACTGTCTCTTCCTCTCTTCAAGGAACCCGTCCAGCATATATTGACTCTTCCCACTCTGATAGGAACCCGTCCACTATTCACTGCCCATTCCCTATCCGTGAGATTTCCTGTCCAGCATTCACTGTCCCTTACCCCTCCGTAAGGAACACGTCCAGCATTCACTGTCTCTTCCTCTCTTCAAGGAACCCGTCCAGCATATATTGACTCTTCCCACTCTGATAGGAACCCGTCCACTATTCACTGCCCATTCCCTATCCGTGAGATTTCCTGTCCAGCATTCACTGTCCCTTACCCCTCCGTAAGGAACACGTCCAGCATTCACTGTCTCTTCCTCTCTTCAAGGAACCCGTCCAGCATATATTGACTCTTCCCACTCTGATAGGAACCCGTCCACTATTCACTGCCCATTCCCTATCCGTGAGATTTCCTGTCCAGCATTCACTGTCCCTTACCCCTCCGTAAGGAACCCATCCAGCATTCACTGTCTCTTCCTCTCTTCAAGGAACCCGACCAGCATATATTGACTCTTCCCACTCTGATAGGAACCCGTCCACTATTCACTGCCCATTCCCTATCCGTGAGATTTCCTGTCCAGCATTCACTGTCCCTTACCGCTCCGTAAGGAACACGTCCAGCATTCACTGTCTCTTCCCATACTGTTATAAATCCCGTCTAGCATTTACTATCTCTTCCCTTTCTCTGAGAATCCATTTTTGAGGAAGCCGTTCAGCATTCACTCTTTCTTCCCCCTCCCTGTGTAACCCGCCCAGCATTCACTGCCTCTTCCCCATCCGTGAGGAACCCGTCCAGTATTCACAGTCTCTTCCACACCTCTTGGGAAACCGACCAGCATCCACTCTTCTTTCCCCCTCTGCGAGGAACCCGTCTAGCATTCGCAGTTTCTTCTCATCTCTAAGGAACATCTCCAGCATTGACTGTCTTTTCCACCCTCTGCATAGAACCCGTCCAACATTTGCTGTCACTTCCACATCTGCAAGGAACCCGCCCAGCATTTTTCTCCTTTCCATTTCTGCAAGGAACCTGTCCAGCATTCACTGACACTTCCCTCTCTGTGAGGAACCCTTTCAGCATTCACTGTCTCTTCCCCCTGTGCAAGGAACCGGTCCAGCAATCACTGTCACTTCCCACTATGTAAGAAATCCTTCCAGCATTCACCGTTCATCATTCATTGTCTCTTCCTCCTATGCAAGGAACTCTTCCAGCATTCACTGACACTTCCCACTCTGTGAGGAACCCTTCCAGAATTCACTGTCACTTCCCTCTCTGCAAGGAATTTGTCCAGCATTCACTGACACTTCCTTCGCTGTGAGGAACCCGTCCAGAATTCACTCACTTCCACCTCTGTGAAGAAACCCGTACAGCATTCAGTGTCTCTTCCCCATCTCTAAGGAACCCCGCCAGCATTTATTGTCTCTTCCCCCTCTGCAAGGAACCCGTTCCGCCTTCACTCTCTATTCCCTTCCTTCACTCCGGCATTCGCTCTCTATTCCCCGCCTGTTAGGAACCCGTCCAGCATTCACTCTCTCTTCCCCGCTTGTTAGGAACCCGTCTAACATTCACTGTCTCTTCCCTTTTTGTGAGGAACCCGTCCAGCATTCACTATCTCCTCCCCGTCTGTGTGGAACCCGTCCAGCATTCATTGTAATATTGGAGAGCAAAAGTTTCTTGTTTCCCATTAATTTACTTGGCTTTTGAATGGCATCCATTATTCCAATATGCCTCCCGCTTTCATTGTACGCTTAAATTCTTGAACCCATTAAAACAATTATAAAAATATTTATAGAAAAGACTGAGAGAAACCACGCCACAGCGTCTGTAAAATGAGTGAATTCGAAATGCCAGGTCATGATTGATAACATAACAGATCCTTGTTTTTATTTAGTAAAAAAAATATTTATATATAGCAGATAAACCAGCTAAAATGTGGCAGAAATATTGAATGAAGGGATAAATGATAGATTTATGAAAGTTTAGAGTGTATTATGTCCAGAAAATGTGTTTGGTACGACAGAGTGAACCAGATTTTCAAGAAAAACACTAACATTTGAATTAATATAATCCTTGCACTTCATATAATTAGAAAAGTGAATTACTGTCCTGGAGTTCTGCTTCGGCCATGCTGATCGAATGTAGAAATAATTCGCTAAAATTTCTAAAAGTTTGCGGTTTCTTTTTGGATACATTAAAATTTAGCCACACTTTCTTGCTCCAGTTAACAACTGATTGGAGGCAATTTTCCAGATCATCTGCCATTACTACATTGTCAAACCGATCGTAATATTAAGACAGTTATGTCATCAGCACAAATAACGATTTCGGAACAAATGAAATCGGGAATAAAATAAAGAATCAAAATGGACGAGTGGATGTGAAAGGATCGAGAAGAGTGAGTGTTTAACACGACGTTCCTTACACACGGTTTGTTAATGATTTGCATATCACTAAAAATTCCATCGGAGACATCATAAGCCTTCAGCATGTAAAGAAGACCATAATGCCAAACCCGGTCAAACACTCTTTAGCTATCTAAAGCCACTGTCCGAGCTTTCTAATATAAACCATGACATACAATTTCAGTAATAACCATTAACCTAGTGAAGCGAATGTTACATTGTTTATCTGAAAGTTAACCTATTCTGATCAGCGCGTCCAGTACTTTGCCATAAGGATGGAAAATAGATTCCCTACACAAAGGAAATCAAAGAATCAGCAAAGGTATTTGTTGTAGAATTTAGAGAGAAGCAAAGCCAGTTCAGGAGCAAATTTGCTTAAGGTAATTGAAGGTATAATATCAAGATCACATATCTTGTGAGGGTCTTGTTTGGAGATGTTAGCAGAAAACATGGATTGAGTTATATTCATATCAAATAAAATTTGAGGAGAATTTACAGGCAAAGCAACCTTCTTTATCAGAAGTATATGATGATACATGAAAATGATTCATGAGAAGAGGGACTGAAGATTTACTCTTCTATAACGCACTCTCACAGAGCCACCATTAATTACGTGAACCATAATTGTGAGAGTCTATACGGTGTTTCTTTCGATCAGACTTATACTTGCCTATTAAGACATTTTATACATATTTAAATTTAAGTACTTGCTTGATTTTAATATCTCTCCATCATTCTTCGCACTTTGGGCTAACAACCAAACAGTCTATATTCTTACGAGTGCTTTCTTCTCGCTAAAACTTCCTTCCAAATGTAGGATTAATATTAAAACGACAAAAATCATATCGTAATTTGAATAACCCTTTTAAAAAAATCAGAAGAAAATATTTTAGGTGAAGCTGAAAAGTGGATATTCCGTTCGACGTGTGGTAATATTTAGTTTTCGATATTTCTGTCTAATAAAGACTGTGTGTTAAGTGGGTGAAGTCATTGTCTTTCGTCTTCAGAATATGAGAAAACCTTTCGTGTACACAAACACAAAACCAAAACATAAGTTTTTATTGATCGTCACTGCATAATGAGCTAATCTGCGAGATAAAAAAAAAAAAAACTAAAACGAATTGGTTTGTAGCGTCAATAAATTGTGTCCATAAAACAGTAAAATTTAGACAAAGCAATTAGAAATTGTTCATAGAATCCTTATCGCGTAAAAGTGAAAGAAGTTTTCCGTTCGGGTTTCATTTTACAGAGGAGAAATGAAGTAGGGATTTGCATTCTCTGATGAATGCAGACATGAAATTTAATTTTTCACGTTTCCCCTGTGCATAAATTTTAGCAGTTATTTATTTAATTAGTAGGAATTAGTAGGAATGATACAATACGATTGATATGAAAGAAAGAAGTTAGTATCTCAGTCTTTTCATATCTATCTATCTATCTATCTATCTATCTATCTATCTATCTATCTATTCATATCCATCTACCTATCTATCTCAGTTGCTTCATATTCCTCACATACTTCTCTCTCTCTCTCTCTCTCTCTCTCTATATATATATATATATATATATATATATATATATATATAGATATAAAGAACAGCAAGATATATAATCTGGTGTTCTTATAGATATTTTTATTTTTACAAAATAGTGCTCAATGTAAATTTAAGAGGATTAATATTATTAAATTAATTGAGTTACAAATTATAGGCTTAATAAATGCCGCCCTAATTAGAAATGAGCGCAATTTATTACGCAGCAAATACCTAGAAGGGATCCTGATAAGTATTTTACCAACAATAAACGTCCGTCAAACACACGTTTATTATATGAACAACTTTTATAAAATCTGCTCTTAAGAATCTAAGATCTGTCTATCTGCATCCACAACCTGTGTAACGTAAATTCTTTCAATCTTACACAAAGATCAAGTAGTGATACACAAACCCACATGAATTATACACATAACGTTGCTTGACAAGGTAATTACATATAAGCTCTACTTACCCAATGGAAAACATTTCACGCCCATATTTCTTTTGATGAAGTTTAAATAAAACCAGAAACATGTTCAAGTTAGAAACCTCTTCTATTTGATTCCATATTATATATATATATATATATATATATATATATATATATATATATATATATATATATATATATTTAGTTTATGTAAAACTAGGCAATTCGTATGGGTAAACCTAAGGAGGATAAAATCCAGAGAGCTCAATGTAAATTCAGATCAAATAATTTAAATAAAAACAGACCACTTCAATGTTCCACGTAATAAATTATTTCTCCACAGCCCTTTTCAAAAGGACTGCGGATCATCAGACTTTACTTCCAAACTTTGGAAGTGGTCTGTTTTTATTTCAATTATATATATATATATATATATATATGAGAGGAACTTTCTACTTGATTACAGGTTTAACTGTATCTACAATTGCACCTACTGCCGCTACTGTTCATTGGGTGTTGCACTGGCTCTTAAAGGCCGAAAGGCTTTTGAAAAATTATGAGACTTAACATGTCTAGTGAGACCAAACCTTTCATTACATTGATTATATAAATAACTCACTATTTATAGAAGATTACTCAATAAAGGAGGAGAAAGCATTTGTAGATATAATCAGTGTAGACACAGGAATCAAAACTGTATGGAAGCAGGCTGTTTCACATTTTAATTGATTCTCTGACCATATCTGTTAACATTCATTTTTGGTTTCTTTTTATACAATCTATCTATCTAACTATCTATCTATCTATCTATCTATCTATCTATCTAGGCAGAAATTTTTCATTGATGCATGTTTCATTAAATAATATAGGCAAGTTCCTTTCATATTGTCTGATAAGCTTAATCACATTATCATTGAAAGATGAAAGGAAAACACCATGTTGATACATATTTAAATCCAATCTAAGCTTTCGGCTTACATAAGCCATTATTAAAGATGACAATTACTTTTCAGTATATCAGCCAATACCAACGGCTTCCAATACTTAATACTTCTCGTTTTCACTCTCGCGTGGTCATGTGTGACGTCACGAGTTACGACGCGACTTTCGCTTCTGCGTCACGTATACACGATTTAGTCGTCGCTTTGAAATTTTTCATGCAACAGACTATCATTATTGTTCCGTGTAATGGTTGATATACTGAAAAGCAATTCAATGATAGTTTTATTAAGCTTATCAGACAATATGAAATGAACTTTCTTAAAATATAATAGACAAAACTTGTCTATATTATTTAATGAAACAGGCATATATATATATATATATATATATATATGAAAATTTCTCCGATTTAATCGGTAGAGAAGACAATATTATGAATAAAAATGACAATAGGAAAACTGGTAATTGCTGACGCGTTTCGTCCAATGTGGACTTTATCAAAGCAAAATACGAAAATGAAATTAAATGAACAACGTAACTAATAAAAACAAAAACAGAATGTACCTAGCAACTGGAATGTAGAGAAACGCTATTTTCATATTTTTTAAATGAGAAATAACGTCAGAGATTGTCACGTGTGGAGAATATTGTCATTATATCTGTGTTGATGTATTCAACCATTTTCTTTCGATTTTATGAATCTGTTGTGCATGTTTGTTTGTAAGAGCATTAATTTTGTTATTGTTAATATATTGGAGAAACAAGTAGAAGTTTGAAAAAACGCATATATGAGCACAAAAGAGACCTCACAAAAAACAACTTAGCTAATGCAATAGTAATACATAGAAATAAATACAACCATAATTTTGATTTTAAAATGCTACACTCATAAAAAAAAGAAAATCACTCACTCAGAAGGAAAGTTTTGGAGAGTGCCGCCATAGAAAATTATCCAAATATTAATTTACGCCCAGGCTTTTTTCCCTATTTCACCTTTCTTAACAAAATTAATGCTCTTACAAACAAACATGCACAACAGATTCATAAAATCGAAAGAAAATGGTTGAATACATCAACACAGATATAATGACAATATTCTCACACGTGACAATCTCTGACGTTATTTCTCATTTAAAAATATGAAAATAGCGTTTCTCTACATTCCAGTTGCTAGGTACATTCTGTTTTTTGTTTTATTAGTTACGTTGTTCATTTAATTTCATTTTCGTATTTTGCTTTGATAAAGTCCACATTGGACGAAACGCGTCAGCAATTACCAGTTTTCCTATTGTCATTTTTATTCATAATATATATATATATATATATATATATATATATGACAAATATGTTTCGCCTGGCATCAAAAAAATGATGAGCAGATTCTTATAAAGTATTTGCGCAATATTAAAAGAATAGAGTAACAATAGTCAATAGTCAAAAATAAGGGAGAGTTTAAAAGACTAATCTTAGGAACGACTTCCGGTTTGAGAGAAACACCGCTTGTCACGATCCGATAATTCTATTGAATTCATCAACATATCTTTATATATACACTGCATATGGATCACTCGTCAGATTCCAAAGAAATTTGAGACTTATTTTATGACTAAAAAATCTTATCTCGTGACATTTAATATTAAAAAAACGGTTATCATATAATCACACTAAATTTCTTTTTTCTTTATGAATTGTCTGTTGTAAAAGTTATCTGTTTTGAAAAACAAAACAAATTTAGAAATATATAACAAATACACCAACAATTATATGATCGGAAATATTATAAACTTAAATCGTCCTCATATGGAGAATTACTGATCCTTTACTTAGAACTTAATTTACTGTATATACTCGAGTATAAGACGAATCCATGTATAATACTATCCCTTTATTGTATGCATTTTAACCACCTCAAAAATTATCTGTGTATAGGGCGACCCACAATAAATGGTCATAAAAACTCTAAATATACTTAAGGATAAGCTGTATTTATTAATTTTGTTCGTATTTTATTAATTCATTTATATTATTTACTGCATACAACCATCAAAATTTTTATACTAAACATTAGAAAGTTATAACTTGACAACATTTTCTTTTCGGAAATTCGATTTTCTAAAAACTATTTATTTCTAAAAAAAAAAAAGATTTTTTTATTTTTTAATCCGACAAATCCATTCAGTTTAAACTTTATTTTTAGTGGATCACCATACTTGAATAGACGCCCCGTTTATTTATTAAACACTTTATTTATTCATTTTCGTCTATAGGTCTTTATATATGAGGAAACTTATTAAAGAAAATATGCACCCTTCGGCAGGATTCGAACCTGCGTCACCTGTTGCAGAAAAAGCCGTCGTTAGATCCAAAGCCTTCTAGACTGACTCAGTCACGTTGAGCGTCGCCGATCAAGCAGTGACGAATAGTGCGGTAAAAACGCATTTTCTTTTCATATTTTCTAAAGTTCCTACCTGTTCAGGCTGGTCACTACGGAGTTGGTTAAACGCTTCGGAATACTAAATCATGTAAGCTTTGATATGCGGCTGGCGTAATTGATAACGGCTCTGGTAGTTTTAAAGTCGAGTTCCAATGATTTTCATAATTATCCTTTCCAATTCTCTAATCAGCTTCTTGATGTTAAGATGTTAACTGCCTACCCAAGTACTTTCGATAACCTCTAAGATCATCGTCAGTAATAAATTACAAAGACAAACCTATTGTAACTTTGCTTAAAATCTACATTTCATTGTGATGGTGATTTTTAAAAACACGCGTGAACGCGCTCTTTCAAAATTATTTTGGAATTTTAAATTAATCCGTTATAGCTATGGAATCTTTTGCAAAAGAAGCATCCAAATATAAGGAAGCCGACAGGTAATTGGTAGCATGCAACATGGCATTAAATGTTAGTTATATGTACTTCAACACATTGTTGCTACAATCGTAATAAATTTTATTGAGTGTCGGTTGGTTGCTTTTGATATAGAGGGCCTCGTGAATTTGTGTGTGAGAAAGTGAGAAAAGGACATTGGTCGTAATGAAGCATCAGCGTACATATTTGGTAACACATTGAAAATGTTTTATTTTCTCTCAGAAAGCTGAAAGATGACCTTTATCCATACTTAGCTATATCAAATTGTGGAGGAAACAAAAGACTTGAGAACCTTGGAATAAATACTCCCATGGCGAAAAAAAGAATCTTGTACTTAAAAACAGCAGTTACCAATGTGGATCTAATTATTAATTGAATTCTTTGGTGTTTCTTGTTGAATGCCCTCACCAACATCAAAATATTACTATTTCTTGTTCTCTTGTCAAGGCTGCATATGCTTATCGAATGTTGATAACATGTCTTGAGTGGGCGTTTCTACTTAGATCCCAAAAGCCATTTGTTGTTGAGATTTTTTCAATAGCGTAAATGTACATTCTTCAATGTAATCTGTAACAAAGAACTACAACGTATTTTTATTTATTCTAATTTCTTGTAGTTTTTTTTATTTTATTTTAGAACTTTGCTAATTTTCGCTTCCAATCTAACAGGGATATAAAGGTTCTCTTTCTAATGCATCGGTTTTCGTTTTTAAATTTCCTG